ACCTGTTATGATATGTATATCCCGGGTGCATCGATTAGAAGTTGTACAAAGCAAGGCACCGCCAGATCTCAAGTCCCTGCCTGCAAGCTCTTTCTGAAATTTTCAGCAGTGCCACTATGCGAGCCTACAAAACGAAATCTGACTAATTGGTTGCTGTTCGCCCTGCCTCCCTGTCTTGCAGGGTCATGAAGGTCTCCATCCCAAGACTCACCGCTTCGAAAGGAGCCTTTGGGATTCATGCGCGCTTTTGGGACCTATGGGGCTGGCCTTGGGAGCTTCGCTACATGGCAGCAGAGGATATTATGCGGCATAAACGGGGTGAGCCGGCATGCCCGTATTTGCCTCGGCAGCCGGAGGAATCTCTCCAGATGCAATAGCTTAAGGATGGCGTGTTGTGTGTAAACATGTAACATATCTACATATATACACACATACTATGATGAACCTATTTGTATCTGCGGTGATCCAATACTACATTATATATATACACATACATATATGTATCTAGTTGTATGTGTGTGTATATATGTATATACACCTGCTTCAGTACTACTCTCTCTCTCTCTCTCTCTCTCTCTCTCTCTCTCTCTCTGTGAACCCTTAAAGTACCTGTAGATTTGTTCTACTAAACTCCACTCTACTCTGCAATTCTCTGCGCTACTCTACTGTACAGTACTGTACTGTAACGATACCCCAACACCAAACCCAACTATAAGGGGCCCTATAGTACATAGATGACCCGGACCGCTCCAGGTGGCATCTGGGTCGGAGGCCGGTCGACGCAGGATGGACCAATCCTCGGACTGTTGGACCGGACATATCGGCCTAAGGTACTCTGGAGGATCCAAAAAGCAGATCCCTTAATGGGGGTTCCTATAAGGGTAGTATAGGCCCCCAAATTAGGGGATCTAGTTTCTAGATCCGTTTCCATCCAGGGCAGGATGGTCTGGGATTCAGGTTTCCGATTCCGTTGGTATAAAAATGAGATCAGGACTGGTCTTAACAGTTTTAAGCTGAAGCTTAGAGGCTCGAGTCAGGGCCTGGGGCGCCAGAACATGGGGCTCTTGTAACGGACCATACTACAGGGGCCTTAAGAATTAGAGTAGGGTTTTGGAGGTATATTATGCTACAATTATAATAGGGACCCCACCAAAATAGTATAGGTATCTATTATGGCCCCTGTACTATCACTGGGTGAAGTTGAAGAAGCAGAATTGGCCGAGAGTCGGTGACGATGGTCTGTGCATCAATGAGGCGGATGGCCTTGGCTTGTGAAGTTAATCGTGCAAACGTCTTTGCAACTCGCTATGAGTCGTCAGTAGGCTGAAAGTGCTGCGAACAGACGACACGGCACTCTGCATTCATTGTTGTGGATGTGCACAAGTTAAACTACATATTTCAGATGCTACGAGATGTTTCGCCAAAGCCGTCAAGGTGGCTGCACCGACTCGAGGAAACCCGGCTTCAGTCAAGGGGCTGTCCATTCGTCTTCCAGCACTCGGAATTCCAGGGTGAAGTTGTAGCCTTGGAGCTCTTTCTTGAGCATGGTTGCGCACCTACAAGGGTGCTCGTATCAAATGTGGTGGGCTACCAGCATGAACAACTTTGGAACGAGGAGATCTCTCCTCCTAGTCCTGAGCCACAGCTCATTTCTCCAGTCAAAACAATCTCACCAAACGTGGCAGACCCAGAACGAAATTGGCAACGAAGCCAAAACGCGAGTGAGAGGTCACACGCATGAGCAAGCAACGGCATGCTAAACCTTCTTGCATCCCGAAGCTGCTCCCAAGCCCCAGGGTCCAACCTTCCAACTTCACCAAACTAGAAAGAAACATGAAATCCGACAACGACGCAAAGCAAAACCGTTTCAGCAGATCCAGCAGCTCGCCAGGCTTCTTTCAGGTCTGTAGCCGAGGATGCTTTGACCTGCCATGCTGCTTTGATTAAATCCTGAACCCAAATCCTAAGCAATCCCAGAAGCCTGATGCTGTGGCTACATGTCAACTCGCACACAGTTCTTTAGCCTTGAAGCTGTTGTCCCAGATATATCCGTCGTGCTGTTGTAGTAAAACCACCAGGCACAAGGTCTTTGTGCCTTCCTGTGAGTCGCTTAGTGGATACTGTTCCCGGCAGATGATAGTGTCTTGCTACCTTTCGTGTCTTCACTACTTGGTATCGGTAGCTTGCGCTGCTGTGGCGGAATTACGAGTTCCGTTTCTGTTGCCGTTGCTGTCAGTACAACTGTGCGAAGCCGACACCAAGTGCAGCTTGGATGTGCTCCCTGGTTTTGACATCACACGCAGAATTCAGTCCTCAAGCCTGAAGGGATGCCCCGACAAGAGCAGGACATCGGATCAATCTGAACAACCGTGCAGGAAAATCCGGGCGAGTCCGGGAGACAGCACTCAGCGAATAAAGCCTGTAGGTCCTCACGTCCTGAACTCCTGAGCCTGTAGTAACAAAATGACCACCTGTTTGAGTGCTACGCTCTACAAACTGATAATATGTCCATGTGATAATAGACATGCCCCCGGCCCCCAAGGCAACCCAAGCCCGCTTTGGCTCGGCACCTTCCGCACTGTGCTTCAGGAGCTGCCAATTCTGTGGGAGGACCTGCGCAGAACTGCAAATGCGAAGCAGCAGAAAAAGTTTGCCCCGATAAAATTGAACGGGGCAGGACACTGTGTTCTTATTTGCAGGTGAATCGCGGAGTCTCCCGCGGACTGTCCCACACGACTTTGCTAAGCCTGCGCGACATTTCATCGCAAATAAAACTAACGCAAGTTGATGTAAGCGGCTACTATGCTGACGACATCACGTCCAAGGACAACATCCCCGCCAAGACACAGGCCCCAACACGTGTCTCAAGATGGGTTCTCGCAGAGGCTTCTATCCCTTCTGCGGGCCTTCTGTCGCTCCAGCCGTTGATGCTCTTCTTGGCGTTTCCTTGTCAAGCCAAACGAACACAGAGCCAATGCAGCGTTCAGGATCCGAAGCTTAAGAGACCATGCATACGGCTGGAAATGTCTCGACTTGAGAAACTGGCCGGCCACTGACACTGTCTGGTAGGTTCAGTGCGGAACCCAAACAGACCATCAAGTCTAATCCAAGCTTCGTGCTGCGAGCCTCTTGCAGCTTTGCTTCCAAGGCCTTCGTCAGGGCACCAGAATCAGAAGAATCCTACCGTAGCTGAGAATATGACTGTCCGCTTGGTGCTAGGCTTCGCATTTTGGGCTGGTGAGGCAACGTGCAGATTCGGCCGCCGAATCCACATGATGACCCAGCTCTCTTTCCGGAGACAACCTTGAGAATCGCTTAGATCATCTACCAAGTCTCGCTAGCGCGAACAGTTCTCCCTTCAAGGGTTCACGGAGCTCGAAGATCAACCCTCAGTCCTTAAGTTAACAAAACCTTTGCATATAGAAGCCCCTTAGAAACCATCTCTGCGCAACCCCCGTTTCCCAAAACATAACAACAATCTTAAACCCAATAAGCACCCGCGTAAAGTCCCCTTAAGACCGTCCATCCCTGCGGGAGCCTCCCGCTCCTTCTGAAGCTCTGACCGCTCCTTCTTGGGGATGCAGGTTCATTGTCTGATTAGAATTACTCATTTCATTTACATTCCTTCAGTGTTCTTAGTCATATACTGATCACTACTAATAACACGTGGTCTTGGTATGGGGTTTTCGGCTCCCAGAAACCTACAGCTGTACCCTTTGTCCAGCAGTCTCATGTTATGCCGCGTTGCAGGGTGCCCTCCTTTTTTGCATTCGCGGATGCTGTTGCAGCGATTCTGAACACCTTCTAGTGACGATTCTAGTGGATCAAAGAGTGTTGGCATTGTGTTTGAACCGTTTTGCGTAATTAAGTGCCACGACCTCTTTACTTGGACCGCACGAACCTTCAAGTCGTGCCGGCAAAGAGGACGCGAGGTGTTGAAAGATGTAGTCTTTTAGTGATCGTCCTGTTCGGCTGTCTGTGCAGTTCAGAGTATAGGCTTGGTCGATTATCAGGAACGCGGATGAAGTTGGAGTACAACAAAACCTGTCTTTCGGGGCCCCAAATTGAAGAGGATTTTGCGAAAGGCCGCAATCCGACACGAGATGGCAATGGATCTCAAGGAGTCGGTCCTGCTCCAGTCTCTGCTGGAAGTCGCGAACTTCCGAACGACCTTGGCTAAGAACCGCAGCATTGATCAATCGACCGACATGTAACATAAGAGACCGTTGTTTTATAGTTGTTCATCTACTTGTGGAGTGGCGAAACTTCCTTACATACAGCCTGCACACTGGCGGATCGGCCCGAGGCAAGAACGGAACAGATCTTGGTACTCGTCCAGCGAGCAGGTCACGGAATTCCGGGTGGCCTCCAACAACAGGGCTTCCGAATTTTTCCGTATGATATGCCGCATCTAGGACCGACTTTTGGCATGGACGGTGACGACTGGATCCAGGCGGGACCCTCCCACTTGACACTGGATGTGAGAAGACCGGTTGAACTGCACTTTACCACCGACAGGCCGACAGTGCCACTATCGCATGATTCCTGTTAACCTAAGGCCGTGTTCACGAGACCCTCTGTTCAGCTTAGGAGAAATGATGAGAGCGACCTCCGAGGCATGCACGCCGGAGCCGGCGAGCAGCAACAGCAGAAGGGCCCCGCACAGGGCATTTCTGGGTCCAGGCGACATGAACAAAAGCGGCTGCTCCTTCTTTCCTTGCTTTTTGGCGCTCCTGTGAGCTCAGCTGGATGCTAAATGGCTGCAGGCGCCACATCGATTATGGACTCGCAAACTCAGCATGTTGGTTCAACGAGCTAGCGAGGGGCCGGCATCGCTCTGTTGCGGTATGTTCGGCATCTGCTTACTGCACTTCTACAGGAACCCTCGAAGATCAGCACGTCCCGATGAGTATATATGACAACCCCGTCTCAGATATTTGCGACACCAGGTCTGGATAGCCGCCGCGATAGGACCCACCCACCTGATATTGCCCAAGTACAGTAGCGGAAGGTGATTTCTTCGCCAGCTTCGATTGGATGAGCCTCAGCAGCCGCCACGTCTTGCAAATTTGCTCTTTCTGCAAGAAGGGCGCAACATCATGTCAGCTTACTATATGTCGGGGCCTTACTATTTACCAATACCATTTTAGGGTTCCTTAATATAGTATAATGGGCCCCAAACCCTGTTCCAATTATCAAGGCCCCTGTATCATATCTGCAACATCCTCAGACTTGGGGACAGCCCTGAAGCAGCGGCAAGCAATTTGGAAAGTCACGTGAAGCTTGAACACCAGCTCAGGAGGCCTGAGCATACAAGATAAATTTTTGTACGGCTGTCTGCCGACACACAGCTCTGATGCCTGCTTTGGGCCGGAACTGCCCCCCTTCGCCTAGTTCACCTGAAAGATTTACACCTTTTGGCTCTGGTTCCACGGTTTTCGTAAAGGGCTGCAGGTCGGCGCCTCGTTGCAGATCCGTGCTTGACAGGCCTGTGCGAAGTGTGAATCCGGGACTCCGAAAGCTCACTTTAGAAAAGCCAGAGTCCCAGCTTTTGCCTGGAGGTCGCATCGGGAAGAACTTCAGGATTCTCCAGTCATGCATCATCTGACGAGTGAGATCACTCCTGCTCTCTCTCTCTCTAACTCTCTCTCTCCCTGTCTCTTTCCAGGCCACAGAAATGTGCAGCTGAGATGCCGCCACGAAGGCCAATGTCGCCCGGCTGAGGGGCACCGTTAGCGTCGAGGGGACACATGCCTTGACGCATTAAGGAGGGACACTCGTGATGCCCCTCAACCCCAAGCCCTGCACACTAAGCCAACACCCGAAACCCTTGCAACCGCAAGTCCGAAACGCCTTCACAACAAATCCTGAACTCCAAACCCATTTTAACCTTAATCGCCAAGCCGCATGGTTCATCAAGGACGGTACGGCCCATAGCCCAGAGACTGCAGCCCCCGGCTCTTCATCGTTTGGCCTCCTGAGTGCACACTAAAACCTTGGAATGCTGATAATATGAGGTTTCCCGGAAATGGGGATCCCATATCATGCAGATCCTAGACAGACTAACGGTCCCTAACATGTGGCATCTCGAATGGCGCGAAACCCCATCTCTATCTCGTGCGACCGCATTCTGGATGGTAGGAAAGCAAGAGAGTGCCGAGGTACAGAAGGTCTTTCGCCCGACCGGGATCCGTGGCGCTTGCGGCGTGAAACTTGTCCGCCTGCAGGTTTTACGGGGTTTTGCGGCTTTAGGTTGTATTAATAGGGCTTTAGGGCTCTGAGGTTTAAGGGTCTCCGAGTTGTGAACCCCAAGCCCCCTAAATTCGGGCTCGGGACTTGATGTTGCTGCCAGGCAGTCTGCTACATGTCATGTTGTGCTCGTGATGACCTCTATCATATCTAACCTACCTTACATGAGCGACCGTGTATGGACACAGACACAAACACATGAGTTGGAGTCAAACTGATATGGAAATCGCGAAAATGGCGTCACAATCTCAACCGAAGGTTTGTGGAATTCCTGACTCTCATTCGCTGGTGTTTATATGCATGTATGTACGTGCACCTGTTCATGATATGTTTATGCATATGCGCATATGCATGTATGTATATATATATATATATATATATATAGAGAGAGAGAGAGAGAGAGAGAGAGGAAGAGATGCGTGTGAACATGCATCTGTATTTGCATATGTATATGCATGTATGCATGTATGTATGTATGGATGGCGCATGCATATACACACATACATGCATGCATACAGTCATGCACCAGGCATACATGCATACTTACGTTGGCATATAGAGAGCCAGATAAACATGTGTGTATGTGTATATATATATATATATATAAATATGGACACATACACCATGAACTGCACAAGGGGGCAGTTCCCAACAGAAAACATCTGGCACTCAAGCCAATGTCTTGTCGCAGCCGGTACTAATGATACTAATGGCTTTATTTATGAGCCAGGGGCACAGTGCAGTAAACAACAAAACTAAGAAAACAGCGGCAGCCGCAAAACGGCTAACCGTAACTGGTTTTTCCGTGAATAGAGAAAGTCAAGATGACAGACTTTAAGATGGAAAGCCGCAAGGACAGCAACACTACAATCACTAAACATGATTTCAACGCCGCCACCTCGTGTACATGGCCCAGGGGTCGCATTGGCGCACCTGGAAGCCGTTTAGGGCCAGGATCTTGTAGATGCGATCTGGATGTAAACGATCCGGAAGACCTCCTTGGGGTTTAGGGTTTAGTTAGGCTTTGTAGGCCCAGGGTTTAGGCCGTTTAGAGTCAAAGGTCCAGGGCGAAGCTATGTGGCTCCGGGTCAAGGGCGGTTCACACCTTTGCGCACCGTGCTTGCTTGATTCCCACCTGTGCATGAACGACATTTTCGGGCTCCGCTTCCGTATGTCTCTTGTAAGTTTTCTGTAGGCGAGCACGTGATGTCCTCCACGCTTTGCTTCTACCATTCGCAATGTATATAGCACTGCATACTTATACTACAATGTTCCACCCAAAGCTTATTCGACGTATTGAACCCAACTGCACACTTCGGAAGTGCTTTAGGTGCCAGAGTTGCGCATGCACGGGTCAGAGGAATGAGACAACAGTTGCAGGAGTTTCGATTACATTCTACTGTAGATACATATATAATCTTAGCACAGGGATGATATTATGGTAACTAAGGTACGCAGCGAGCTCTCCTGGTGCTGGCTCTGCATCACGGCCGGGGCGGTACAGATCCAAAGAGGGCAGAAGGTGGCCTGGCGAAATCATGGGTGTTCGTGGAATGTCATCTTAACTGGCACAGCACAGAGCACAGAACTCGCCAAAACATCTCGAGCATGAGTTTCTGAATGGGACCCCTGTGCATCTAGGCGAGCCCGCAACACGAGCTGACGAACGAAATCTCGGAGCATCAACATATTGAGTCCACGAACCTGCAAATTCGTCCGACATAAAAAACTGCTGCACCCTTCGAAATCTCTAAGCTCCTGCCGTCCCATTGATTTGAAAACCCCAAAACACCCGAAATGTCTAGCATGGAAGCCACCATTGGTTCCATCGAACAAGGAGTAGAACTGCTGCTTCTTCCGGGGAGTAGCCTGCGCGTGGTGTGCTCTTTTGCTGCTTATTTCGACTACTCCTGGAAGTTTTCTAGTTCTGTGCCTGCAGAAAATGAAGCGCGCCACAATGCGCCAAATACAGCTCGACACCAGAATCTGCATACGGCCTACCCGAACCGTAGCGGAACATACTGCAGGCAGAAGGCTTGGACTAAGGACAAAGACTGAATTACAACTGAAGTCCCGGAGGACCAAATACAAGTATAGACGGCCCACATCAACAACGACATGCCACATCGTGCTTCACTGTGTAGCAGCATCTAAGAATCTGTTCTGGTGGCTGCGGCCTCCAGGATCCAGCTCACAGCCAGTTGCCTCAAGATGAATGCGTGGCCGTCAGTGGAAGTTTCGTACTCCACTCACACCTACAATGCTGTGTTGTAAGTTTTGGATGACGACAGGAAACTATCTGCCATCAGTGTCGTCGGAGCCAGTTCAAGATTCAAGGCCTCATGACTGAACACGTCTGCACGGACATGTGAGTCCAAGTCCTACGCCTTCGGGCACCAGCTGCAGCGCAGACATGCGACAGGCAACTTAGCCATTGGGCTATAAGTTATAAGTATAAGTTATACTTATAGCCCCATGATCCTCCAAGTAAGCTTCCTTTAAGGGTTTCTACACGGGAGAAAGGGTTGGGCTCCTTTAAGGCCTTAAAGGGTTCGTTTAAGGGTTCCTTAGGGTTTTCTCAGGTGTGTTTTAGGGTCTAGGGTTTGTGCTAGGGCGTATAGGGTCTAAGGGGTGCGAGAAGTCATAGTATAACAAAGATGCTTCTTTCAAAACGGCTTTCACACTTCTAGAGTCCTCCTGTCTCCCAAATCCAAAGCTTCCGGCCTTCCAAAGTTCGAAGCAACCGGACATCCCTGCTCCACACGCACACGACAATTGTGCAGATAAAGCGCTGTATTTGGTCTGCTGGGGCCAAGAAGAGGGCCTGGGACCTCGATGGCGAGGTCAGGGGAGCTCCGAAAAAGTATCAAAACGCCTTGAGCTGCAACTCGCAGCAGGCGACTGCTTGGCCCCGGACACCATCAAGAGTTCTCCTGCCTCCACAGAACGTGAAGCGACGAGGCCACGCCCTTTGCCGGGCAGCAAGACCTGTTCAGCGGCTGTGCCGCGGCTCTGATATGAACATAAACATGCTCCGAGGAAACCTTCGAATTGAATCGGGCGCCAAGCGCCAGGCTTTCTGGCACACAAGCCCTATCTCGGAACCAAAGAACTCCAAAGACAACCCCCGCACCAGTTCGAGGCACGGACAAGCTGCAAGGCATCCGAATACCTGTCACACTTATCGTGAGGGTACTGGTCGTCGGTGGAGCATTAGGGCTACTATCAGTATCAAGACAACTGGAAGAATGATTGTTACTTTCAAGCTTTCTCTGTGACTGTGACTGCTACTACTAGCACCACTACTACTACTACTACTACTACTACTACTACTCCTGCTGCTGCTACTACTACTACTACTACTACAACTACATATTATTACTACTACTACTACTACTACTACTACTACTACTACTACTACTACTACTGCTGCTGCTGCTACTACTACTACTACTACTACTACGACTCCTCCTCCTCCTCCTCTTCCTCCTCCTCCTACTACTACCACCACCACCACCACCACCACCACCACCACCACCACCACCACCACCACCACCACCACCACCACCACCACCACCACCACCACCACCACCATGCCCTCTCTCAGTAGGCTATTGCAAAACAGGCAGTGGTTGAAGCATACAGAGGATGTTCTCGTAACGCTACAGTCATGACAGACGCTGCAGCTTTTGCCGTTGGTTATGTTTGATCAGGACTACTCGTTCTTCTTGCAAACCACCTGAATCATCTTATCCATATGCCTGATTCTGTATTACGGTTGCAGCCTCTATCCTGCCTAGCATTACCACGACGCTTCTTCACCAAATGATCCTATTCTTCCACGTTTTCAGAGTATTCACGGTTCAGGTCGTACCCATAGGCCACAAAGTAGTTCCTTTTTGGGATTACCCTATAGGATTCTAAATATGAACCCAAGAAGGAACTACTTTAGGGTCTTAGGGTAGGAACAGTCCCCCACCCCAAAGATCTGCCATGCTTAGAGGATCATGGGACTTAGCAAGTAGGGTTATAAGTACCTTAAGTGGGGTTATAAGTGATTATGCCTGTAGTTAGCTTACTTATAACCCTACTTACTAAGTCCCATGATCCTTGAACCCTAAGCCCTGATAGTACACCCTATAGATCCCTCAAAGGAACCCTTAAACCCTACTTACTAAGTCCCATGATCCTTTAAGTGGGCACCACTCCGGTGGCTCCGGCCCCTGGCCCTTCTTCTCCTGGGCCTCGCTGACCTTGGCGTTTTCGGGCTCTCCGTGGGATTTCGCGCTAGGGTTTTTCTTTTTAGGGTTTCGGGGTTTAAGGTTTAGGGGTTTAGGGTTTATGGTTTAGGAGTTTAAGGTTTAGGGGTTTAGGGTTTATGGTTTAGGAGTTTAAGGTTTAGGGGTTTAGGGTTTAGGGGTTTAGGGCTTAGGGTTTGGGTGCGGGGTTTGGGAGCTTCTGGGGTCCGGGGTTGATCGGTTTCAATAGTGGAAAGCATGCTAACTACATAGCATCCCTTCAACAACGCTTCTAGGAGCTCAGATTACGAAGATTGCAACTCAGATGAGGCATGCAGGACGCGAGAAGTCGTTCCAACTGAAGGCCAACCTAAACTAAATGCCTTCAGTCTGGTCTGTGGTTATCATCGACAGCAGGACGCAAGCTGCAGGGTACAGCGTGACGGATGTTTGCTTTTAGCCGAGATCGCTTTCCGTAAGCACGCTGTGTTGTATGTATATATATATATATATATATACGTTACTATACTATATGCTCTATGCTACACATTTTGTAGTGAGAAACCAGTTAATGTGTGTGTAGCATTTGTTCATTTAACACCACCTATAGTCCCAGAGGCTGAGCTTCGCAGGAGACGGCCGAGGTCCACGTTCGGCCGGGCCGGCTCGATCCAGCCCTGCATGGCATATATGCATCTAGTAATATAGGAGCCTAAATGATTAGAGGGGAGCTTTACGGCTCCTTCAAGACCGCTATTATAAGGGACATTATGTAGGGTCTAAGATGGAGGGCTTACAATTAGGAAAAATGCCTCTCCTTCCACTGCTCTTACAGCGTGCTGAACTGGCTGTCGAGTCGCTGGTGTAAGCATCCTCGTTTTCTGCTATAAGGGCCGAAACCAGTACCTATACTATTTTGGGGGTTCCTTATTATATTATATTTAAAGTATAATGGGCCCCAAAACCCTATTCTGATTATTAAGGCCCGTATATATATTACGCTTCGGGCTTCAGAATAGCTTGATCGCACACCCGGCACTGCAAACGATGGTAGTTTGGGCAACTGGCGAGGACTCACTCCCATACCAGATTCTGCCGATTCCTGCGCAGACAAAGCTATGGAAGGTTTCCCAGACCCAATCATGGTGCTTCTAACTCCAAACTGAGGAGTCGCCCCTAAGACCTTCACACCTCCGAGCCTCCAGTCACTCTACACATACCCTAGAGCACAGAGAAAGAAATAATGAATATCATGCCACCACCCATAGTCGTAATGACTTGTTTCCAAAAGCGGCCTCCTGCCACTGGCCCCAGCTGCGGCCCGAAGCTTGGGGTGCCGGCGGCTTCGGCACCTCCGCTGGAGTTCCTGCAACGATATAAGGGGGCTTCTGAAAATAGGGGCCCCTTATATACTTCGTATCCTAAGTAGTAGGATCCGTGTTTTAAGGACCCCCAAATAATGTACCTCTTATTTTCCGAAACTCCCATATGTGTACATGTATGTCTGCATGTCTTCGCACTGAGCCCGGAGCTGTGCACACCAGCAGCACTTCTACACGCTTTTACCATGAGCAGCTCGCCTGCAGAGTGCTGGTTACTACAGGGACCTTAATAATCGGAATGGGGCTTTGGGGTAATATATTCTACTATAGTTTTAATCTGGAGCCCCAAAACAGTGTAGGTAGTTTATTAAGGCCCCCCGCATTAGTTGCTTTGTGCACAATCCTCTCAGCGAGGTTCCCAAGAGCCGACCAGTGTGGCCTCCCACTTGGAGGGGAAGGGGACTTAGTAAGTAGGCTTTAAGTTGAGTTATAAGTACCCTAAATGGAGTTACACCATTTATAACCCTACTTATACCCTACTTACTAAGTCCCCTGCCCCTCCAAGCAACGAATCCCATTTTGGGCAAGTGCCCGAACCCTTAAAGCCGTGGAGCTCGTGATAGTGAACAACGAAAGCAGTAATTGTATTGTAGTAACTCATAGTATTATGCTAATGGTAGTATGGTAATGGCAATATAGTAAAGGTACTATAGTAATGGTATTATAATAATGGCAGTATAGGAATGGTATTATTATAGTAATGGTATCATAGTAATGGTGTTCTAGTAATGGTATTCTAGTAATGGTGGAGGAGGGCAGACAAGAAGTGCTCACTACTCCTTGCTCTAGCCCTTTGACGCGCATTCTCGATTTTCCGAACAAGTGTGACGAACGCTTACCAACAGAATTCGTAGAGCAGCGATTCTTCCTTATCTTTCATGAACTGCAAGACTGGGAGGCCTGGGTGCCAGCGTGGCTGGCTGCAGTGAAACCTTGAAATAGGGTGGTGGGCAGGCCTTGGACGGTGGAGGTTGTTCTAGATTCGGGTGAAGTCGGGTGAAGGTCGACTCTCGACCTAAGTCATGCAGAAGATTATGGCACGTCACACCACGACAAAATTCGCCTAGCGAGGTGAAGTGTCGCAGAACCTCTAGCTGCCTGCAGAACGGATGGTGCAAAAGGACCCTATCTTTGATCCTTCTGTATGGCCTGCTCACATAACCCACGAAAAGACCGCATGGCGCCGCAAACAGAAATCCCAGATGCCACTGCTGCACATCGGCACACTCTTGATGCTTCTCGTGTGTGTGCTCAGGGTTACAGGTCGCCTTTCTGGTGGTTACACATTGATCTACTCGTAGAGGGACCGTTTCTGAGCAGTCAGCATGTCGGCTTCCTCGGAAGCTCCGGTTTGCCAACGACGTCTCGCGCGGGTTCGAGTGGGGTTCCTAAAATCCGAAAACCTATATCCCCTGTGCCCTAAACCCGAAGCCCTGAACCCTCCGAATGCTTTCGGGACTGAGTCTAGGATCGGGACAATGCACGAAGTCGATGCGGTCTCAGACTTGTGTCTTTGAGCCTTGAAAAAAGAGCCCTTTCCCCGGGAAAGGGCAGCTGGGCGCCATGGCCGCCATGTACCGCAGCACCCTGCACGCTTGGCCGTGAACCCCAACATTCAGCAAAATATGACTTCACGCATGCTGCTATTGGCGTTCATGCAGCACACAATACACATTAGAAGGACGCGCAGGTAGAAGCACAGCAAAAACACTCTGGAGCCTGGCCCCACTTCTAGCTAAGATACTACACTAACGTGCCCATGATACAGGACCCTGATAATCGGAAACTGGGCTTGGGTTAACTGTGGTACATACTTGATTGGAACCTATCCGTACAAACAATCTTAATCAGCAGCTGCCAAGACTCTATTAAGGCTAGTAGTTACAGTAAGCCATGCAAGCAAGCTCAGGGAAAGAACGACAAGCCTGTCCTTCAGACGGTTATACCTGCATACAGTAAACTTGGGGTCTGTTGCTTGTCGGGTTTCTATACTTGTCCCAAACCCCTCTGCAACCGCTTTGTATTTGTCAGTTTGCCGTGCGATTCGGCAGACGTCAGCCTCACAGCAATTATCAGTAGGAGCTTCCTCAGGGAAGCCAATGAGTCAGACATTCTCGATTTAGCACATGTTTGGGCCAAGCGAGCAGGGTGACGAGGTCATGTCTTCACACTGGGTGCGTCTCACATCCGTGCGCACATCTATCAACGACGGCGGCAGCCCTGCACGCAACAGCTCCCAACCGCAGGCAAACGAAGAAGAAGCTCAATGCAAAGCATAGTTAATTATGTTCTTCGACAAAAGTACACCAATCCAGAAGCGGATGGCCAGAACTGGACCAGTACGGGTCAGAAGTGCATGGGCCGCGTGCCCGTATATTATCGGGCTAGCTTGGATAGAGGTTTCCGGGCAGTTGCAGGATGTCTCCATCGTTATGCTGCTGTGCATTCTTGTCTTGAGCTGACTTCCGACTTAGCCTGAGCACGAGTCTCAACTGCCCAGTCCCTCTTAGACGTCACAGACGCAGCGTCATTGGCAGCATGACTCTTGGCAACTTTGGGCGAGAAGTCCTTAGTCCTTGAATGTGAGTTCACGGCTTGCTTTGCTCTCCCGCAAGATGCAGACACAAGAACATACGAGAGGACGTACTGAAACACGTCGAGCAGTAGCAACAGCAAACTTGGTGCTGATTTAGAAGCACTGACTTTTGTACGAAGTATGAGGGATGCTACACAGCGCAGCCTCTACAGCACAGAACACGCACGGAGTTTTGGTAGTGGGCCATGACGCATGGATCAACACCGCCACCGGACCCACTCTACCGACATGCACCCGAAAAACCATCAAGACCGAGCTTTAAATTCGTGTTAGATGGTTGTATTTCCGACTCTCCGACCGGCCGATCTGCCCGAAAGCGCACCAGACGCCTGGTACAAATTATGTCAGCGTAGCTCGATCGAGCACTGCTGCGACGTGGCATGACCACTGCGACGACCACCCAAAGACCAGCAGTGGACAAGCCAAGAGACCAGCCGGACAACCAAGAGACCACGAAGAGTTTACCGGGGGTTCGGACACGCGGCCATTCTGTTTCCCGCCACAGTATCAACCGCTACTCGCGGGATTCAGGAGCACGGATATTTGCGGCATATTATATTGCTTCCCCAATGTACTGCCAAGATTCGGCGAAAGCAGCCCTGCTTTGGCTTTTTTCTTGGAACTGGATTTCCGAAACGGTTTTCTGAGTACACTGTACCCCAAACGTAAGAGCCCCAATAGGATTCAGTAGGGTTTACCAGGCTGTTCAGGGAACACTTGGTCACGTTTCAACTTGCCTCGTAGCAATCGAAGACAAGAGCATGCGCCACCCAAGGCTGACAAACTATAAGAGAAGAAGTGGCGACATCGAATCATGCTGTTGGCCCCCACATACAGCTGTTTCATTATCGTTTGAAGACGAGCTCGCCCAAGCCCAAGAAGCCGCTATCGCGGGATCAGGCACCGGTTCCGAGGCCCCGCGAACCACTTCTGAGTCTTTGGAGGGCCTCTCTGCTCGACGGCCTGGAGTCCCTAGGAGATCAAAGCTTGAACGATAGTCAATATATCTGCAACAAAAAAGTAGACAATACCAGATGCTCTGCGGTTTGCGCTCCTTCTTGAAGGATGCTCCCCCAAGTCCCCTTAGACATGGGCGGCAGACAAGAGCAGGAAGGCTGGGTCTCGTATCGCCCACGCTTATCCCAAACCTGCGACCTGCTACTTCAGCACTTCCTGCGAGCTGCTAACTGGGTGGTTGTCAAAATTATGGTCCCTTTTTGGATCGTTATAATAGTACGGCACCTAACATCTAGGGTACCCGAAAAGGGACCTAATTTTGATAACCACCCAACTTTGAAGAAGATCAAATACAGGAGGTTCTCAACAGCGCAGGCTACTTCACCGCGCTCGAAGAGAGTCGCCTGTTTAAGCATTCAAACGAAGAGCAGTGCCTGGCGAGTCAAAAATTCCGAGCAGGAGCGAAATCCTCTAAGAGCCGAGTAAAGCTTTGGCGGAATCTGAGTTTGAACTGGAGGTTGTCGAATATGGAGGTCTTTATAATCACCACGCCGTTCTGGGGTATATATTAAATGGTATCAATATATTCAAGAACCTCGAGGAATTGTACTGGACAATCCTTCAGGCATGCGGGGTACTTTACTGCCGAACATCAGATCCCTGCATTAGCGAGCCAATCCATGATCGAGTGAAACAGCTGGATCAGTGATTCACTCTAGGCACGGAGTGAGTTATATCATTGACTGTGGACGCAAGAACATGCAACTGAATGAAAGCATGCTGAGAGTACTGTAGCAGCACCCTGTCATGGTGGTGCATTGCCGCGGCAGTAGTAGTAGCAGTACACCAGCAGGAGGAGCAGCAGCAGCAGCACGGGAATCAGGGGAAATGGGAGGTGGTAGAGCGATAGTAGTAGCCACATAACCCCAAGAGCTGTAGAGGTCGCAGGAGAAGTAGCAGGAGATGGGAGAAGGTAAAGGACGATGCAAACCCTGAAACCCCAAAGCCTCGCAATTACACCTGGGATCCGTAACCTACATTTTCGGCTAGGGGTCTACACATCGGTTGCAACTTTTGCGGCTGCTTTCTTTTTTCGGAAAGCTTTGATCACCGCCAAAGGAGACTCGGTCTGAAAGCACGCACTGCTCAGGGGCTCCTCGTCGCCGCGGCCCGTCACCAATCGGCTGCTGGGTTTTGGATTTCTGGGCCTCGGGTAGCCTTATTGGCCTTTTGGCTTCTGTCTGTAGAACCTCAGCGCCACATGCAGAGGGGCCAAACAATGCGATAGTGATGAGCTCTCTCAGTGTATATTGTCGCTATCGTGACTACCTGTGTGTGTGTGTGTGTGTGTGTGTGTGTTTGTGTGTGTGTGTGTGTGTGTTCGTTCGCGTGGGTGGGTGGGTGGGTGGGGAGTCTCGTTTCACGGCATGCTTGATGGGACGAGCTGCGCCGGGGAATTCACATCGCCATCGCTTGAGTCAGAGTTAGGGCCTTAACCATTAAGGGGTCCTGAAATCCTATGGGCTAAACATTAATGTGGGGCCTTAATAATTAGAGTAGGGTTTTGGGGCACATTAAAAATACTTACTATAAGAAACCTCCACAATAGTATCGGCAATTATTTAGGCCCCTACATTACCCCAAACCCATATAAAATCTGAATGGACCCTAACTCTGACACTTGTCCGGAAGGGTTGTCCAGGACACAGAGTACACCGAAGCTGCCTCGACACGCCCTCGGCGCCAGGAGCCACAGGGTTGACTGACTTCTGGATCTCTTGTTGCAGGGCTGTCCTATACCTAGAGGCTCCATAATAGTTCCGTTTTGGGGTTCATATTTAGAATCCTATAAGGTAACCCCCAAAAGGAACTACTTTGGAGCCTCTGGGTAAACAACTGGGGTACGCACTGTAACGCCGTTTGGAACCACAAAGAAACCACTCGCATCCGGAACCCCTGTTCTAAACCCTCAACCCTTAACCCTCAAGCCACCCTGAACCCCAAGCCCTGAACTACTGAACTACTACACCACTAAGACTGAGAACCCTTAACAACCTTATGCCCTGAAATGCTACACCACTAAGACCCGAGAGTCTCGAGTCGTCCTTCGGCTTCGCCTGGCTGAGGCTACTCCGTGCTCTCCCCTGAGCCTGGACACTTGAAAGAGCTCAGGCTATTCCTGAAAGTGGGCCCGCGTGCATGACGGACGAAGGTTTAGGACATTCCTGAAACTAGGTGACCAGGATTTACGAGCGGCATGAGTGGCGAGCGCTATGCTTTCTGCTTCCTTTGATAACTACAACCGCGTTTTCTGTTCCTTAGTTGCCTGGCAAAAACCAGGACATTGAAAGTTTGGCTCCTATGAAAAGACCTTCTCCAGGCCTTTTTCACAGGGTTAAACAATTTCGGCATGTTGGCGGCAGACCGGGCAAGAGCCCGAGGACCTCCGCGCTGTGAACCACTCCATAAGGCATGCCTGATGACCAGAGGGTGTCGGGGAGATTTGGGGTCTGAGCGTAGGTTCCAAGCCGGTGCCGTGCACCGTTTCGGGGGCCTAACGCGACAATCCCAGTTCACGACTAGCACAGCTCGCGATAAAGGACCAAGTGATCGAACAACAAGCGGCCCAGACCTCACCGTCATGCTGTATCACACCCGGTCATACCCTATTAAAGGCTATTCTCTTCTAGTATGTATGTATGTATCTATGTACATACACATATCTATATGCCCACATACAACAAGTTCCCATCTTCGGCGTTTAGGGTTCTCGAACAACCATGGGTGCAAGAGAGCAATAAGGAAGCAGATGGATCCTGGCTTCGGGCTGTGAGGGATTTGGCGACAGGGTGTTTCAGTGAAATAGGATAGAGTAGAGTATATTAAAACCCGGCACACCACATCATATGATATGATATTACATTGTAACAAATTGTTGTATGTATGTGTGTATGTATAATGCATGTACGTATGTATGTACATATGTGTACACATATGTATTGGTTTACAGTGTTCCCCGAACCGAGCACCACACCGAAAACAAAACGTCACGTCATCTTGGCATTCTTGCTCGGATAGTAAATGCTAGGGGGAGGGGGGTGGGGGGGGGGCCAGATGACACGCCATCTTTGCAATATTGGTCATCTGCCTCCCGGAGCAATTTAGGGGCGACGCGGCAAGATGACGCGTCATCTTGGTAATCTTGTCCCACATGCCATACACGCCATACTTGCCCCACTCGGGGGAGGAGGCGGGGTGTCAAGGTTACATACACGTCATCTTGGTATTCTTGGCAGGGCGGTACAAGATGACGCGTCATCTTGGTAATCCTTGTAGTCCTCGCAACCCCGACCGGTTCCCACTTGCCCATAGTCGACTAGTTGGTTTTGATTCCGAGCACACTGTTATGTTACAGTATACTGTTGTATGTTAGATGATAGTATGTTATGTTATGTTATGTTATTACATGCATACATACATACATCCCTACAAACGTACGAACAAACAAACATGCATGCATGTATACATGCATACCTGCCTGACAGTATACACCAACATCCTTCGGCCCGTTCACATGATATTTCGTAATACAGAGGCCTTCATAATTAGAATAGGGTTTCGCGGCCCATTCTACTATAACTATAGTAATTCAGGAACCCCAAAATATTATAGGTAATTATGAATATGAATATGGGTATAATCTAATGCCAAAAAGCTTACGCCGAACAGCCCCAGGGCTTCGAGCAGCCTCGTGGTAGATGTGCCCACATGGCAACAAAGAGATGACGTCCGGGCCCTTGAAATCCTGCGACGGATGACGTGTTTCGCATTATGTATATCAAAATGTGGCATTGTTATTTGGCTGTTTATGGTTCTCCCTCTGATGTGATATGATATGGTAAGGTATGATCTGATACCTATATTGTTTGCATATCAAACATATTACACTGTATTGATATACGAGGTTCTGAGGCATGCTTATTACAGGTGTGAGAAGTAGTTTGCGAGTGTTTGGGATCGGATAGGAAACGTTCAACAGATAGTGACATGCCGCGGAATTTCGAGTTGGAGACACAGTCACACTAACTACCTACATCATGAGCGCAGCTTCAGAAGAAGCTTTGTGGGCAAGTTGTCCCTTAAAACGTCCTCTGCCTTCAGCAAGAACGAGTCAACAAACCTCAACTGCTGAAGACAATCGTTTGTTCTGGACTTGCTGGGCTACATGGGCCGCGGAATGCCTCTGGGCTGCTGCTGCCATTCAGTCTGTCGGAAGTAGAAACGTACAACTCACGAACACTATCCATCCCAGGAGCCTTCATTCCATACCCTGGACCCAAAACCGTCTATCCTGAAACCCGAACACATACTCGCCACTTGACTGCCGGCTTCCGTCCTCCAGACAGCAAAGGCACGTCTGCTGTACCCACCTCACGTCTTCTTAAGGGGTTTCCGGCAAGGCTACTTTCTGCACGTCTCGTGGAGTTTTTCAAAGCTGAAAGTCTAGAGTCGGTGTTCCAATATATTTATTTCTTCTCGAAGGTGCTCGGGAGGCCCTAAACCCTATAAACCCTAAACACCCAAAACCCTAAACCTTTAAACCTTTAAACCCCTAAAACCCTAAAACCCTAAACACCCAAAACCCTAAACCTTTAAACCTTTAAACCCCTAAAACCCTAAAACCCTAAACACCCAAAACCCTAAACCTTTAAACCCCGAAAACTCTGGGTCTTGTCACCCTGAGGTCCTCTCAGGCGCCCCCCTGCAGTCGAGGCACGTCTGTGTCGGCAGTACATCTGCTTTCTGAAGCACTTTCCTCGAAGTGAAGCTAGCTCTGGGATGTTTAGGGTTTCGGGTTTTGGGGTGTAGGGTTTTAGGGTTTTGGGGTGCAGGGTGTAGGGCTCTGGCTGCCCGGGACTGTGTGACGGCAACACTGCCGTGCATGCACCTTCTGCAGTGGGCGGGACATGAAAGTTGGGCTGACACGGGTCTTGAAAAATCACGGGCCTTACGAAAGCGGCATCGGAACAGGCAGAACAAAAAAGGCAGCGGCGAACACGTCCTTGGAAAGTCCACGCACATCCCATCATCTTGTCCGAGGCAACAGAGTTTTGACACGAACACGTGACCAAATTGTCCTCACCCAAACAGGCACAATTCGGAGGTCAACTCGGGCTTGGCACTGACACCTGGTTGCGCGAGCCCTGGCCCAAACAACCTCCGCACAGAAAGCCGATTGCCGGAACTCCGAGTATGACCCGTACCGCTGGATGCCTAATTCGCCAAGCCAAAATGATCATATTGAAGTGACACGAACCTAAACTCCGTCCCGAGCCGTTCCCGTAACGCAAGAACCGACCCTGAGAAACAGACTTTGTAGGTCTGGCGGTGCCGGCAGCAACCCCAACCTCGGGACAGGGCTTATGTATGGCGTCATATACATATGTGTAATTATGTAATTATATATATATACATATATACAGACGCACATAGATCCATGCAGACAATACCGTATTCAGATATTCAAAAAGGAACATTCAGGTGTGTATATATATATATGTATATGTATATGTACAATGTGGGTAAAGATGTAGACATAATGGACATATCGGCTTATGGTTTGGGATTGTTTTGGTCTGGCGCTCGGTGGGCAAGGTCTGAAAGTACATCACGGCAATGTCTTGAGGTTTGGGGTCTAGCGGCATATGATTTATGGGCGTTGTGTTCGGTGTTGCTACAAGCATGAGCCAAGCCATAATGTCAGGAACCGCAATCACTTTCCCACTTAGAAGACGTAACTCTGCGGGACATCTGGCCTGACGGTTCAAGCGATATTCTTGTGTTCCAGTACCGAGGTAATCCGCATGTGGGGCTTTGTGCATTTGTCCCCTGCTCACTCCGAGGCCCATGCACGGGTTGTAAACATCTTCGGCCCATGAACTATTTTACAGTGCAGTTGGCCCGGCCGCTTGCTGCGAGACAAAGAGCCCAACCCAGCTCATCTCTTCCCGGAACCCAAGACCCTAGACCCAAACCCTGAAGGCCCTAAAGTAAGCTCCGGAAGAACTGCGAGCAAAGAAAGACCGAGCTGACCTGCATCAGTCGGAACTCGGGACGCCCCGTAGCCAGTGACTGAAACGGCATCGACGCCCACCTCGACTGTCTCGAATGGCTTTACAGATTCGAGTTTCGCTTCCTAGAAAGCCCAAGGGCTTAGGTGCTCTGTGTTCTGGCAGCGCGTGGAGATTTTGGCTAAAGTTCCCAGTGAGATGATGCCTCTGGCGATGCTAATCTGCCTAGTGGATGTACTTCTTGGAATGGTTGCAATGTCGGTCAGGGCACACATGCTCATGGGAGTTCCGCGACACCTCCTTCTCCTCCTGGCGCGTCGCCTCATGCAGGGCTTCGAAAACGTGAGTTTTGTCGAGAATGCTGAAAGGATAAGCTGAGGGGAGTCGGATCCCTCTCCCCTATGCTTTGTTTGTGGTGCCCTTGCACATGAAAATGTCTGTCCAGGGAAACTAAGATTACAGGGATAGAAGCTCTCGTGACCCTAAACCCTAACATCAGCAAAGCCAGCAGGACGGCTGCCTGCTGGTGTAAGTGGCACCGGACCAGAGCCATCCACGAGAGGCTTCCGGTCAGAAACCTGGGTCTTCACCGTGGCTTTAAGAACTACCATAGAGGCCTTAATAATTAGAATAGCGCTCCTTTAAAGGGGCTATAAGGGATCTATAAGGATACTATAGTATAGGGCCTTAATCATTTGAATAAGGTTTTGGGTTAGACTATCAATGTAATAAGGAACCCCCAATATAGTATAGGTAATTATGCAGGCCCCTGTAGTAAGGCTTACAGTGATGTCGAGAAGTCGGACACTTGCACTTGGCAAACAACTCTGGCTGGCAATTGCTATGTCTGATTGAGAAAGTTGTGGGTCTTCAGCCTTCTATCTAAAAATAAGCCTCGTCGTAGTAGCAGCAGTGATTAGGTTTTCCTCAAGTACAACCCCGCCAGCTGGGAGAGCACGAGTAGGGCCGATGCCGCGACAACCCAAAGTGAGGGTGTTGTCACATTTAAGCATTCATGCAAATCCACCTGAATTGCTGTCGACTTTAGGCTTATGCACTGGAGTTTACACAGCACAAAATGAGAGGAGTGAGGATTTGGAAAGCTTGAACCCGTCAGCTCCCAACCCAGATCCCGAGCCCCTGCCGGCCCTGAGCATCCCAACACTCCAACCCGACGAACCGTTTTTTCAGCTTCGGAGCGTCATGCAGACTAGTGCAAACATCAGCTCCTGCACCATGGCCCCACTGGGCAAGACGGCCTGGCGAAACGGACGCGCCCGGTTCAAGCTGATGGGGCTGACTGAATGACTCGGGCCGTCATCAGCTTGATCCCTGTTTTCTTTCATGTCGACTGTAGACAGTCTTCGTTTTTGGGCTGGTAAGATCTTCATCTCACAAACGGGGAGTTTGACAAGTTTACCATGCTCGACACTCGCTCTCACTTCTTGCTGTATGCGTTTTGCTCGGTGGCTTTCGGTCCAGGGCAAGCCAACTGGACCTCTTAAGTGAAGCCAAGGCACATAGCAAGCCATAAAGAAGAGTCCCAAGATCATAAGCACGACGGAGCTGGCTAGAAGAAGTCTGACCTTCAGCACCACAGGCTACGAAAGGCCGTGCTTTTGGACAATTTCGAGAGAACGAAAACAGTATGTACAAACATGACAAGGGTCCTGCTGCTAGCTCGTCACATCATATCTCTGACGAGCCAGGCAGAGCCAGCAACAGGATGGAGGAAGGATGGTTGGGAGTGTGTCAGAATACTTTCTGCTAAGAACACCTACTATCTAGCGTATGTTCTGGCTGTGTGGCCCCAGCGATGCCAACGGGCAAGAACGGATAAGATTAAGACGCAAATGCAGCTGGTGCCCGTCACAGCACCTTGGAATCCCGGGCCTCGAAACTGTCCACCTGACAACTGCCTTGTTTTCTTTGTGACAGAATCTCGATTCTGTTTTCCGCAAGATGGTATACGGTGTAGGAGTACTGTCTACTTGGGAAGCTATTCCACGCCTTCTGCGCGGCTGCGGCATGTTCGGCCACTTGGGCCCGCAGAGATTCAAACCAAAACGGCGGTTCAGGTCTTCGAGGCACGAAAGGAGGATTCTTGAACTGCTCAACTGACGTCATGGTATTCCCAGCTACGCTCCTCGCAGACATCCAGAACTTGAGCTCCTACAGCCCTCTGCCATGAATTCAAGTCCAGCCGCTGACAGCGGCGCACCCGAGAGATCGTCAGCAGGGATGGCTGCAGCCCTTCGAGACTCCATTCGTCTCAGCTCTTCCATGGCGGAAACCACGTACAGGGAACTCCGGCAAACTTCCGTTGATCTGTGAAATGCCTGCGGAAGCACGTTCACAACCACAACGCAAACCCCATGCAGGCCAGGATTGGCGTAGCCACTCGGAAATGGTAAAGACCATGAGCCGCTATGACATGTTGGCACCGTGCTCTAAGAGCGCGTATATGCCGGTTCCACTCGTGCTGTCACTCTTAGTGAGAGCATGTGAACAGCCGAGGTACATCGGTCTACTTCGCGGTTCATGGCTGCCTTCGTGTGCTCATGTTGTATGTCGACAGCATATCGAAAAAAACAAACAATACATACATAGGTCACATTCACACGCATTCGGGTCAGGCCTCAGCCAAAACTCAGTGCACATAGCTCTACCGAGAAGTAGCTATGACCTGCACGTGCCATTCCAAGCTGGGTCGAGGCACTATCTGGAAGTTCGAAGGCACATAGCTGCCTCATTAACTGCGAGTTAGGATTGGGGGGACCCTCGGGGATAAAGACCCTCTCAATAAGGTCCCTTTTGAGAGAGCGAGAAGTAGGGTTCGGAAGGGGGTACCCTTTAAGGGGTCTCCCTCATCATGCTACCCATTAACCCATCCTAAACCCCTAAACCTACGGAACGGTTGATGATATAAATCCTGCATTACCTTAAGGACCCTAAACTATGGGAATTATGGTATATTCCATATTATGGGTCATGCAGGATTTATATCATCAACCGAAGCACGCAACCGACCTTACCCTTCTTCCCTGCGAGAGAACGCCTCGACGACATTTCCACCACGCCCCCACCCCCTCCCAACCAAAAACAAATCCCAGCTCAACAACCTCCAAACGGTAAACCATGTTAGACCTATACACTCCAAAGCTTTAACCCCAACACCCGAACTCTAGGTTGAAGAAACTTGAAAAAAACACCCTCTCCTGCAATGCGGTAAATGTGAAGGGCCCTTCGCTCATCGAGCGTCCGGACTGACTTCCGGCCCTCCTTGATCAATGTGGTGCTGAGATTATTGGGATGTCTTGTTTTTGAAGTCTCCTTGCTCGCCGCTGCTGAATAGGATAGGGCTTTTTTTGGCGAAATGGGTTGGGTTTAAGGTCTCGGGTTTTCGGGTTTCGGTGTTCGGGCCTTTTAGGTTTGGGATTTGCTCCTTGTTTTGCTTTGCCGGTCGGAGGTTCTGCGCGATGCGGGATGTGAAGTAGGGTCGTTTCCGTATTAGCTTGGACGCCAGGTTTTCGAAGCATGACCGGTGAGCCGACCTGCATCCCTCCTCAGACATCTCTTCAGCGAAGTTAGAAAAAGCTGGCCAGACTGCACAAGAAAGGCAGCACTTGTGTACTCTGTTTCGAGACACCCTTCACCGCTTCACACCTGAAGCGAAACGCTCCACACACTTGCGGCTTTCCGATTCTACGCCCTGGACGACGGTCCCAGACCTCCAATCCCTCTCAACGGACAATCCTGGACAAAGCGTCTACTCTGGGCTGTAGCGCTCGCATCGTCCGTTTGAGCGGGCCGTAAGCATCGGGCTCTTCCGACACAAACCTCATCATGCAAACACTCGGTCTGAAAACACCGGCCAGTACCTTAAGAAGAACCACCTCTCATGGTGCCTGCGTTCGTGATGAGACTACTACTCAGAAACCTACTTTCGCAATGTCGATACAAGCTTCGTGTCCTCGGGAAGACGGGGTGGGTGTGGCCTCGGCCTTTGTGTTGCGACATGGGCCACAACTAGAACTGGGTGACGTGGCTAACGGGCTCATGGGAGACACGTGTGCTTTATTTCGGTGCGATATGTAACAGCCTAGTATGCCTCTCCGCAGCATGAGTTTGCTCTATGTCTCTATGATTGAAAACGGATCTGCCACAAAGCCTTCTTAGCTCATAAAACTTTGTGACATTGGGGGGGAGGGTGCGTGGGTATAAAACAGGTAATTAATTATGGCTCGAATTGCCCGCAACCATGTTCAAGCACTAATGACGTGGATCCTGCAAGTGTTGCATTGTGACGATCTCGAAGTAGAAGAGCGTATCCACATGCTATAGGGGTCTGAACAACTAATTGGCTGATCAGCAATAGTATCCCCTTGCAGTCCCTATAATATAGGTATACAGACCCCCAAGACCTGCTTCTAATGCTCGTATGTAGGTGGCTTCGCTTCGCAACTGACCGGGCCGAATACGCGCGATCTTCCAAGTAAGGCCAAAAATGCATGACATCACAAGTTTACATGCACGCGACGTCTGGAATACACAAACGGCGCATGTGCCGAAGGACCCGAGGTCCTTCCAAAGTTAATCCTCCCAGAATGCTGCAATCGACCGGGGAGCTTCTTTGTCGAACCCACGGTAGTCTTGGTGCTGTGGAACTCCGTCTAGCGCAAGCTGATCTCCCGCCAAGTCGCGCCACGTGTCCATCAGATCGAGTCGAAGAAACTGCTGCATCGCAAAACGATGAGGAGTCCTAGTGGCCAGTTTGCTCTGAATGTTGGGATGCAGAGTAGAGCTCCGGACGTCCACCTATAGCTGCTGCCAGTGCCGTTGTGTTCTGCTTCTGACTTGGGCTACAACTCCATTGAGTCCACCTGTAGCTTGGGGTGTCAGGGCCTTCATCTTCATGTTGAGACGATGAGCAAGCACGAGCACGCCCAACTGTCGGGACGCTTTAGCTGGGTAGGTAGCAGCCGAGAGTAGCCGTAGCCAGGTGCACAAGCATGCAACTGTGTGCACATGTGAAGATCGATCGGTGAAAGACTACACGAATACATTAACAAGGGTTCGTAAGCAAATTGTTCATGCTGGCATCTGCTAGAGACCCAGATCGTCTTCTTTTCTGCGGAACCTATCTAGTTCTTTAAGTGTCTAAACTACTGACTCTGTCATTCGTATGACTGTGCCACTGCGGGACACAATGTCGTTCCTTGGTTCGATGCTTCCTGTTGCACATGGCAATTATACGTGCATCTGTGCTCTGCTTTTATATAGACTGCGATGCGGAAATTGCGCATGAAATGCAAGTGCACATGTATGTCTCAACACATACATTTACATTCATACACACGTGATACCGCTGTGCTCGCAATTATTGTCGTTGTGTCTTATCAGATTGTGATATAGCCACCTGTATGGATCTGTAACAGTACTGTCTACACAGCGAATATGTGCTTATGTCTGTATGTGTGCATATATAATATACATACAGCATCTGTACACACATATATATATATACAGATACATACAACATGTATACACATATTCTTTGTGTATAGACATATATTTGTACATAATGATATATATATATATATATATATATATTATACATATAAATAGTATATATATATATATATATGGTCACGCGCTCCTCGGCCCCCCCCCCCCTCCCCCCCCAAAGGTCAATGGTCCGGATATAGGGTGGGACCCCCCCTCCCCTGTGGTGTGGGGTGTGGGGTCCCTCTTCCCCCTGTGGGGTGGTTGTGGGGTTTTGGGGTTTAGGGTTTAGCTTAAGCTTTTGAATGTTGGGTTTACGCTCACAAGGTATAACGCTTCGAGTCGACAAGGGCTGAGAGAGGATTTGCGGTGTATGTTCTGCTTTAGGCTTAGAGCCTGCAGTTTGGTGGGGTTTAGGGTTGGGTGTACGGTTTGAAGTACAAGTTAAGGTTACTCAAAACAGGGGCACGCGCGGCGTGATAGGGTTTAAGGCTTGCTTGCGAAGGGCTTGCGTATGAGCCCTGGCCACCAGCACCACCCCACCATATAGTGGCAGCTCCAACCGCCGACCCCTTTCCGCACACGCCAGCCCCCCCCCCCCCCCCTACCAGACCATACCATTGGGGGGGGGGGGGTTGGGAACGCCAGACGCCTGACCATATATGTGTATATGTGTGTGTAGAGAGACAGGCTTTTTCCTGGAGAATACCGTCATTCTAAGTGAATGAACACCTAAGCGCAAGTGACCTAAATATAGATGCACACATACCAGCACCCCCCGACGTACCTCTATTGAGGTTTTCGCACAAATGCCCACTAATTAAGGGCACTTACCCAAAAGTGACCAAAGAGGGGACTTAGTCTTGATATATGGGGTGGCTGGGTCACATCTAAGAAATGCTATTAAACGCTTATATTGCGGTGATCACATTTTTGGGTGCTTTGCTTGCTCACTGTCGAAGCTTCTTAGCCTTTGTCTCCTCACACCAACTGGATGCCAAGCCCTGAAGCATCTTAGACAGTAACCTGGGCATGCCGGCTGAAACAGCTTCGGCAGTCCTTTGACTTGGCACCGGGAGGACACGGACATACACATACCGCAATACACAACAGCACTGCTGTGTGAACTTGTTACGGCTAGAAAAAAGTTGTCATAGAAGTGTGTGTGTGTGTGTGTCTATATGTATGTGTGTATATATATATATATATGTATATCATCGGGTGCGGGGGCTGATGCACGCCGCGGAGTCGTAGGCGATGTGGTCGGTCTTTACACCGGTGTGGAGGGATCGGGACGTAGACGTGGTGAAAGCTTTTTTGCTGCGGGGTGCCTGTGCAGCGTCGTTCTATCTTCCAGAGCACCAGAGCATCCAACATGTTGCATGGCCACATCGACAAAACATAAATGTAAATTGTCGCCTCTCAATACGTCGCTGCAAAATGCAGAATCGACGTAAGATTGTGCAGCGCATCGAACTCAGGGGCCCAAACCACTTAGAGTGCTTTTGCGAAACAAATCCTGAATGAAACTCTTTCATTCTTCGCTCCTCGGTGCTCTAAAGCATAGAATGGAAGAACTGGTTCCCATTGTTGACGGAGATCGCTTCTCTCTTATGGACCACATTGACGAATGTCGCTGCTCGCGGCCGAGACTACTAAACATCGTCAGCTTCTCTGCGCAATCGATGGACTATATCGGTCTACGAGAAAAATCAAGGATGACGGTCCTAAGCCTTTTTGTTTCTGCTCTCTTCGCCCTCTCAATCCTCCTCGACTGCTTTGGAACCTTGGCTCTTCTCCTAACTTCTCTGCCGTGCTGCTGGTCCCCGTCGTTGTCTTTCCGTCTGCGTCGTCTTCTGGCAATTCGCTGTTGCGTCTGTATCTTTGCTTTCTTTCTGGTTCTTCTTGGCCCACCCGGACCCTCGGTTCCTGAATGTGTCGGCTTCAGCTGGCGAACGTGGCCTGGATTTCCTTTGAAAACCGTCTTGGGTTTTGTATTTTCAAAGTATATCAGCTGCTCTTTGGAGCCCAGCAGCGAGATTTGCGAGACAGAAGGACCATCCAGAAAGTATATGCCAAAGTACAGGCCCATGCCCTCATGTATTTGTTTGTCTCTGAATATGTGTGCGTGTACATAAATTTTGTACATAGGTATATGTCTACGTATTTATATATGTATGTATATATATATATACATATGATTTGTACATGTATATTTTGTATATGTGTCTACATACCCACCTACCTATGTACATTTAGTACAAACAGAAGCATACATGCAAGATCATGCAAGCAATCGACATGACTGACATGCAAAAGCAGTGGCGTCGACTCGTGTGCCGTCCATCGGATGTTTTCATAGTGCGACCAAAGACTCTAGCGCGATTTGGACCGATTTAGCTCCACCGGCTGTTTTTGGGGCAAGCACGAAAATGTGGGTTGGAGGCCTTGAAGCGACACGCAGTGACACGCAGTGACACGTTTCGTGATATACCGAAGTCCCCTCGTTTGTGGTAAGTGCCCTCTATTAGAAGGCACTTGTGTTTCTGGCGACACGCAGTGACACGCAGTGACACGCACTTTCGCGCCCAACCTGTTGCAAAACTGCCGTGCAAGTCCCACGCCCGTCGCATCACCTGAAATCCCAAATGCCCTCTATTGGAGGTGCTTGTAGGTCCAACAAACGATGCCTCCTCCGGAAATTTAGCAGCAGCCCTTCGCCACTTGGATGGAGTCACGGAAACGTACAAACCGGCGATTGCCCCATCCGGAGACTCGAAATCATCAGGCATTCAAGGCTAGTTCGCGTTTCGGCTCTGATCATTCCGGCGGGGTCATCCTGGATTGCACCGGGTATGTTGTACATATGCAGGGTTCATACGGAAACTCTCATAGCGTAGTGTATCCTCATGTGAGCTACAAAATGTAAGTATGGCAAAACCTATGATCACCGGCGCAGACTTCCTGGCCTTCAACACGACATTGCCCCGCCAATTGTTGCTGTCGCTGTTGCGACGCTCTGATACACTATGTACTTGTGGTCATGAGTCATTGGGGTGGAGGTACGCGCGATCGATGAGAATATCCGAGCACGCAACATCATGAACCATCTGCGCAGCTAGAAGTTTTCTCCGACAGTTCCTTCCCGGCGTGCTTGAACCAATGAAACGACCGAGTGCTCCAAGGTCTCAAGTTGAGACCACACAGAAGCGGCAGGAAAGGCAAGAGGGGCGGGACAGAGAGAGAGAGAGAGAGACACAGTTTTATCGAAGATGGCCAAACGAAGAAGTAACGGCGATAGGAAAGAGAGAAACAGGGTAAGCGGCTACATTTTGTGTTCTGTGAAACAGTGGCCCTTCCCAGCATCTTCGACTGCCTCGTTATGGGCAAGCTTTCCTCTTGTTCTTGAGATCTCCTCACAGAAGTGCCCATCGCGCAGGAGCTACAGCATTTTGTTCCGAGCCGGCTGATGAGTTGTAGAAAAGATATATGTTCATTAAATAAGAGAGATAATGAGAGATATATGAAGGCATATATATATATATATATATACAAATATCATGAATGCGTCCGGAGGAAACGAGCACATGATCGCAACGCGCAGGCCCGCCAATGGCTTTTAGTCCCGGACTTCGCCTGCATACTTTGTTGCGTCCGCAGTCGCGAAGAGAAACTTTGCCGCCATTGTCACCACGACGCCTCACGAAGCCCTAGTTCTGGCACATGTGTACGAACCTGTGGACTGTAGTTGGTGCTCTCGTGTCACCTACGCTTTAAAACACTCACTGCCACTGTTCTTGAGCAACAAGCTAAGCCGAAGACAAACATCACGGAGATCGGCGACGTCATATCGTTCGATTGTTCTCTGAGTATATGTACGACGGGAGTCTGAGGTGAACATGTGTGTATGTAGATATATATAGGTTCATTAATTGCATATACATATATGTGTATCTCTGTATGTATACACACAAATAGATATATATAGATAGTTTATGCAATTTGCTGTGTTCATACGTATATACACACGTGCATGTGCTTATTGCACGAAAAAAAGATACAATCACTTAAGATCTTCCAGCTGGGCACTTGCCTACGGTTTTCTGCACTCAAAAGAGGGCACTTGGGGTCCAAGGCCCCTCTATTTGAGGGCACTTGTTACAAGTGCCTTCTATTAGGCGGCACTTAAACTCCTCAACTTTCGCGAAGAACATATCACCTCCCCGAAATACAAAACAAGGCACTTAACGTGCCAAGTGCCCACAAAAATAAATCAAGCTGTAGTGCCCTCCAATTGAAGTTCATTGGGGGGTCCTGGTAGACTTAGACATGATTGTACGAATAAACATATGCATGTACACATATTGTCTTTATGTGGAGCAGTCGGCTGCTGCACATGTGTACACAGAGTTCTACAGTGCTGTCACGGCCTCTCGAACAAGGGAACAGCACTACCGCCTTCGATGGGCTTCCCAGCTTTAAGGTGCTTCCTTCCCGTTTGACTAGAGCTTTGTTGGTACATTTCGGCGCATGCCTACCGCACAAGCTGACGCATCCCGGTCGTCCTTTGCGCTCAGCGTGTCCACGAGATCTACGTCGACGACTAAGTCAAATGCTTGCGGAAACCTCGGATGGAGGGTCTCTCGCTGAGATTAGTGGTTGTTTTCAGGTGCCGGGGTATTGGGAGACAGGCTAATTACTTGTAATTGAAAAGAAGTCGAAGTTTGGCCGGAAGCCGCAGGACTCATGCAGCGGTACAGCTGATCTCGAGCCGGAAGCCGTATGACACGGCGCGAGTGAACACAAAGCAAGCGCCTGCATATGCTGCCGGACTTTCCGAGCAAAGCTTGAGAGACTAGGTGTGCCAATCCCCTCCCTCTCTCTCTGTTTGTGTGTTTGGGTTTGCGTCTGTCCGTTGGTTGCCGCTGCCCAAGAGAGACACGGTGCAAACGCCGGCTTGTATTCGTGCTGGCGGGGTACTGGCAGCCGCCTGCATCAGCATCGCAAACGAAGTGTTTGACAACCTTCTTGTTTTCGATTGCAAAAAAATCTCGCACCGAGATGCATCGTCATGTCATGACTGCCCGCAGCCTCACCGGCGTTACAAAAGGCATGATTTTATACTGTTGCCTATCCGAGCAGAAATAATCGGAGTGTGGTTCGGGCATATTGCTCTGCACTTGCAAAGACGGACAGGGAGTAGCTTGAACCGAAGACGCTAAACGGACCCTTCGTTATGATCAATTACCCTGCACTCCTGAGACCCAAAGCTTCCAAACTAACAGAATGTCAAGGTCATCAGGGTTCCCGCAGTTGCCTCGTCCCAGGCATATCGAGACCTGGCTTGATAGATGATTTCTTTGTCTGTGCTTCTTGGTTGGACTTGGGGTACATGGCCGTTCTGATGGTGAACGCCTCAGATTCAACTTCCCAATCACACACTTCCTGGCCGATGCAGCCGCCGAATCCCCCATCTCTCCTCCCCAATCAAACCTCGCGGTGTTAAGCTGGGGCTCAGCCCTCAGGCTCCATAGTAGCTCCTTTTTGGGGCTCATATTTAGAATCCTATAAGGTAACCCCAAAAAGGAACTACTTTGGAGCCTCTGGGAGGGTTTGGGGTTTCGCCTAATCGAGCCTCTGAATCCTTCAGTCCGAGACGCGCTCTCCGCGCTCAGGTGATCCAGAGAAGCGAAGGCGCCGAGCTCTTCCAACGGCCTGTAAGCCAGTGAGAGTCAAGTAAAACAGCGGTTCATTAATAAAAAGTTAAACTATAGTACGGCACAGTATAAGTATGTAGTATAAGAACTCGTGCAGGTTGAGCCCATCATGGTTGGTCTAACATCGTTCACGTTTGCAGGAAGCTTAGGCTTGGATTGCTTAGAGCGGTGCATTCATTTGGTCTGGGGGGCTGGTCTCCAGCTGCATTGTCGAACTCTCAGTTGCGCTCATGGGCACTGCCAAGCAAGGTTGCGAAGATATAAGTTTGCTGCCACATCTAAGTCAGTCTATAACTGCCCATGACCTGGAATCGAGTGCAGGAGTTGTTGAAAGACTCCACTTCCTGGGAACTCCCGAACCAAGAACGACATCAACCAGAGTGTGCCTCCCCCACCCCCTCTACCTCGTTCTGCATGGCCTAGCCTAGGACTGTGGGCTCCATGCCAAACAGAAAAATCAGCAGTACATCATATGTATGTATGTTTGTATGCATGCAGGGATGCATGTACATGTATATATATATATATATAAATCTGTACTATGTATACAAATGTGTATATGTGTGCGCATATATATATATATATACACACACGCACATTCAAATGTACGAAGATGGATAGCTAAATCAACACGCACACATAAATACAAAGTAGACCTGCAAATTAAATAATTTAATGAATCATCCTATAGATGTAGCCTTATGTTGTTTCACGTAAAGGCATGACAAGATATGACTATAGACGACTCGGATGATGTGTTATATATCTGATAAGATAAGATATGATGCGACATGGCGATGTGTGATATGATGTGGGGTTTTGCTTTATGGTTGATACTGCCGGATTTGGTGTAACAAGAAATCTAGCATTGTATGCATGGTATGACATGAACGGATATGAAGTGGTATGATACTCTGTGATTACATGATGCATCATACTATGCTACGCTTAATGTCATATCTAATGTTACACTATATATACTTTACCCTACTCTGCTATATATTATATATATAGTACTCTATGACATTATCCTCTAATAGTATGTTGTGTCGGAATGGTATAACATATGACATTACATGCTATTATACCTTGTTACTAAAAGTGGTATTCTGTTGACTTGAAAGACACTATGTTGTTGAACATTACGATACCTTTGGCTGTATTTTATCTTCTGGTATTGCATTACATAGCGCTACATTGTACTACACCGCATTACAGTAGACAATCCTGAACTACACACACACACACACTCTCTATGTTGTAGTGTACTATGGTATGATTTTGTATTGCACTGTATTATACTGTATGAGTGTATGGTAGAGGTCGTCTTCTCTGATTATCTAGTAATATTACTTCGAGTTGTAGCCGAAGTAACCTAGCTCTGAACCGCGAAACCCTAAACTCCGAAACTTGTGAAGAGGGAATTCCCAAAATTAGGGATACCTTATCCTGGGGTCCTTATAAGAAGGATCCTACTATTTAGGGTAATATGTTAAGGTCCCCCATTTTCGGAAACTCCCAAGAGCCTCAGCCCTAGCTCCGTAAACTCTTAACTCCACGCCGGAAGGCACGCTCCGCGCCTTCGCTCCATCGCCAAGGGATCGGAGTCCTGTCCTCTCCTGGGTTGATTCGTTTGGGGCTTGTTATAGGTTCCTTTCAATTCTAAGTCTAAGAGTCTCCTTCATGGGAGCCATATAAGGGTGTAGCAAGATCGAGAGTCTAAGTTTAAGTCTAGGAGCTAGGGCTTGGGGGGGTCGCTTGGGGAACGTCGTCGTCAACATGTGAAGCCCGAGTCATAAAGCAAGACAACCCGAAACTGCAAGTCACCAGGCCACATAACTGGTTGGAAAAACATTCTCAATCCTGAAGCTTAGACTTAAACCCTCGAACTCCAACCCTGCTACATCAAGAGCCCATCAGAATCCCTACTATCACAGCCTAGAGCCCGACCCCTACAGCATGCAAACCCACATCCCTGAAACCAGGATCCCCAGGGCCCAAAACAGAGTGCCCTAAATCCCGAGAACCAGGGTTTAGGGTTTAGGGTATTAGGGTTTAGGATTTAGGGTTTAGGGTATTAGGGTTTAGGGGATCAAGGAAGCCCTAAACCCTGAAATCCGAATCCAGCGGTCAGGATAATTTGTACCACGAGTCACACCTTATGGTCCTCTATGGTTGGAATTTCATACATGCCCCGACCTCGTACTCGAAGTAAATGGGCCCTCATACTAGATGCCGCAAAATCCGCAAAAAGGCATCAACTTCCCTGAACCATGTTCCACTCATGCAGGCCCCTGACCCTCTAACCGAAGCACCAAATCACGCAAAACCGTAAACGTACCTGCCCAGTCGCTGGAGACATGAGGAAAGCTGCGACACAAAGTCGCCGACTGAGGCTCGGAAGGCTTGGATGGTAACGGAATGTAACGGATCTACAAAGGTTTTTCGTATCAGATCGGTACTTCTCCAGGCTTCTAAATCCAAAGGGCCCAATATTTGGCCCCTAAACAAAAGCCAATTCCGAAGCGTGTCGTAGGCTCTTCGGCTTTTCTATTTCGCGAGGATTCTGCAGTTCTTTATCGGCATCATTATACTGCTGCATGGGCTTCATGTCCCAAAGAGCTGAGCAGCTTCGCATGTAGTAGAGAATTCAGGCTTGAGGATAGGAGATACGAAAACTGACTTCCAGTGTGGTCCTGAAATCCGTGTCGTACCATCGCTGTACACCGATGAACCCTCTGGTGAGTTCCTGGTAGCAGCCTGCTACTTACCCGTACCCGGCATCCGGTCCAAAGACCGCAACCTCGTGAAAGACATCTGATGCCTAGGTATGCGGCAGATTCGCATCCACGAATCGTGATCATCGCCATCATCATCATGATCACCATCATCACCACCAACTTATCAACGAGATCATCGTGACCACCACGATCCCCTGTCACCGACCTTGATGATACAACCTGTGAGGAAATATGCGCCTTCGAAGCTCTGTTTCACATCAGCTGGATTCCAATAAGGCCTTCGCAGCCCACGATCAGGATGGCACAGCCCGTCGGCGCCTTGCGCTGCTCAATGGCTTCAAGGTACTGCTGCCATCGACTGCTGCACGCAATTTTGACACATGACCAATGTTACGACTCGTGCCATCTTCGCTGCTGCTGCTGACATCGACGAGGCTGGCTTGCACACTCCAGTGCAAGACACAACTTGGAGAGCAAACCGGGGGGACCTGCCGCTGCAGAAATATGGCCAACTAGATTCCACCTTTACATCTTTGCTCTTTGGTGCATATGTCGGAGGCTCTGCGAGCCGCGAGTATAACAACAAAAAACCGCTGCCGGAACACTACCCGTGGAATCAAATACATTTTACTCGGTTTCAGCTTTGCATACTATTACTATGGTAAAGCCACGTTCGTCGCTTACCCGTATGCTTGAAGTAGATACTAGTACTAGTACCTGGTGCTACTATACTGACGGCAGTTACTCTCAGTCTTTGGCACCGCTGCACGGCTGTTGCAGCTTCTTTCACTGCCCAACTACTACTGAGTTGCAGTGATTCTTGTCTGGTTCTGTCGCCCGCACTTGCTTTCATCCCAGGGACTGTTGAGTCCTCCTCGGACACTCTGAGCAAATCCAGGACTTCCTCGCATAGAGCTTTATACCAAGACATCGGTTGTGGTTCCTCGTTTGGCCTACCTACGTACTCTGCTTTTTCCAGCCGGTGCTCCAAACTTCGACATGAGGCCTTTGCAAAGGACAACCTGTAGCTACCAATGCCGCAGGAATGCCCCAGATCAAACTACATGTCCCAGCTTACGGCAACAGTCATGATCAGTGATGTCGGTTAACAGCGGTTAACACTCAGGCTTTCAGGGACAGATCAAACTCGCAGTGTACACTAGCTCCTCCGCACATCAGTACACATGAACTCTTTCACACTTTCTTCTCCCAGTCCTGGCATAGGGGGCTCTCCATGCTGGCTGCCGCGGCACTCCCGCACAGGACACATGGGTTGGGCAGAGTCGCTAATGATGATTTCAGTTCGCTGATGATAATTTCAGTCAGGTCCAGGGTCGCGCACTGCGCTGGATGAGGGGCACTATGGCATGCAAAGCAATGGTCGCACAGATTATATGGTATGAATAGTCTGAATCGTGCATCTGTCTTCCGACTGTGGAAAGGAACCAGCCCACTACAGTGGCATTGATAAAGAATTCAAACACGTCAACAAGGATACAGCGTGTGAGTTTGTAGGTCATTGAGCTGAGCCCCGCCAACAGCATTTTCAGAGCCTGCGGCAGGCTTACTCCACCACATGTCTTGGCACCCACCACATATGCACCTCATTTAGTCCTCAGTCAGCGGAGGGCAGAACAGACAACGACGACGACTGTAAATGCAGCAGCTAACGCTGCTTTGAGCAGCAGCAGCAGAAACAGCGGCTGCCGCAGCAGCAGCGGTAGCAAGAACAGTAGCGACAACGGGCACGGCAATCACCTATGAAAGACACGACCATCACAATGATATCACACGACCAGATGACCAGACATACACGCAACCCTGCACACAGCGGAGCTAACCGACGAAAAGGATTGAAATAGCAGCCCTCTCAAATCAGCAAGCCATGACCAAAGCCAAGCAACCAACATCCACACCATCACCAGCAGCTCACCAGCATCCCTACCACCCACCGTAAGCAACATTAGTGCTCCACCAATGCACCACTACCAGAATAACGAACACTGACACCACCAGCACCAACACTCCTCCCGCCACTAGCGTC